AGAGTCTTTCAGAGGTCCTCTGTGGAAGGCTCCTGTCCTGTTCCTTGTCTTCTCTCCTACTTTCAATATCTATCCTGTTTGCCCTTCTGAGTGAGGTTTCAGCATCTTCCCTAGGGTCCTCCTTATTATTTATCTTTTTTAGGGCTATAGATTTTAGTATGTTTATCCTATATTATATTAGCTAATATCCACTTATAAGTGAGTGGTACATTTACACAATGAAATACTACTCAGCAATTAAAAACAAGAAAATCATGAAATTTGCAGGCAAATAGTGGGAACTAGAAAAAGATCATCCTGAGTGAGGTAACCCAGAAGCAGAAAGACATATATAGTATGTATTCATGAAGCAAACTTTCAACACACACATGATTTTCCTCAAACCCACTAGTCAGGGCCAGAACAGAGTAGCAGTTCTCCGTGCTTGAGTTATGAAACAATGAGGATGGCTTTGTATAGGGACAGGTGGTTACCATTTCACTTCATCACTTCTTTCCAGGTTTAACGACACCTTATTAAAAAGAATCAGATATCTTGTCTCTCTGTCTGTGTCTGTCTCTGTGTCTCTCCATCTATCACTGTCTGCCTCTCTCTGTCTTTTTCTGTCTGTTTCTCTGTCTCTCTCTCTCTCTCTCTCTCTCTCTCTCTCTCTCTCTCTCACACACACACACACACACACACACACACACACACAAAATGTTTCTATAACCTAGACATTTCTCTACACCACATCCAACATGTGATATTTACTTCATGCCCTGACTTTGTTACTCTGATCATATTCCTTGATAAATTCTGTATTTTCACCTCTTCCCCTTTTCTCTTCAATGTTCTAGTCCTCTGAAACATGACTTATAATCATGCATTGTGCTGCCTGATCATAACTATGCCACTGAAAACACAGTTGGCACTTTGTGTTCTTCATCCAAATGAAACATGCTATGGTATCTGGATAGCTCCTCTCCTTTTGAAGTGATCTCCTCCCTGGCAAGAATTTCTGTTTATCCTCCTGCTGCTTTGTGTACAGACAGGTACATGAAATAAATCTTACAAAGCAAAAATTAAAAAAGCCCATTTCGTGTGGTGAAGTAGGAAAGCCACTGAAAACTCGTTGCCAAATAGTTCACTTTCTGTGGATGATATAAGAGGTTTTGGTGTGCAAGGATGCAAAAATGTAGGACTGGCAGCCAGACTGCCATTCTATTTAACATAATCATGGTACAATAAGATAACGTGATCTAGATGCTTTATGTTCTTCTCAGCGTTCTAGAATAACTATGAAAAGGCTGATTATTTACTGCCATCCAATAATGTAAATGTATTTGGATATATTCTTCCTATATTATTGCAGAATATTTTGATTTCCTTAAATTTATTTACAAAACGCTATGTTTTTACATAATGGTCCCTTACCTAATTCTAAGTTTTATAGACATCACACTCACTGTAAAGAAAGCATTTGTGCCTTTATTGATCTTGAAACACTTTATTAAATTTTGAAGATAGAAAGTTTTTAACAAAGTATATATAATTAAAATATTAGACAGCTTTTTGAGACCAAGTGGCACACAAAGTATCATTTACTGCAATGAATTCTTGTTATCTATGTGACATTAATCCAAAGAAGTAGCATCCACCTTAAACTAACAATATTTTGTATTTTAATGATTTGAAGGTATAACTCACAGTCAGATGTAGAAACTGTACAGCTTGATTTGTGATTTCAAGTTTATATAACAAGTAAGATACATCTTCATAGACTCAAATGCAGTATTTTCTCCTAGAAGCAATACGTTCTGAGCTATTGTGGCACATAAGAAAGGCACATGTACCTAAGGGCCAATAAATAATGAACAAGCATAATAAAGCAAAATAGCTTTCAAAAGGACCTGAAGCTTCAGTGAGGCTCTGAGACCATAAGTATGTGTCATTTCTGCTGCACTGAAAAGATGCCACTGATTTCTGGCTATGATTAACGGGCCCTCTCAAGGACCATTTCTTTTTGACTTTTAGCCAGAATTGTGTTCTACGGCTTTGTCCTATTTCACTTGTGACATCATTTCTAAATCTGAACAGTTCGACAATGAAACACTGAACTTGAAGTTTGATTTGGGTTTTGTAAATTTTCAATATTGTCTAAGTAGAGAAATACATAAATTTCATCAAAATGTATGTTTCTCTGTGTCATCGTGAAAACAGCAACATGAGCACTTTGTCCTGATATGAGGCCTGACAGCTACATAGTGCTAAAAAATAAATAAATAAATAACAACAGCATGCAGAGAACCGAGCCAAGCAGCAAACTCATGTGAGGGACCAGGCAGATGATTCCAATGTGTGTGGTCCATGCTTATCATTTTGCAGACTCAATCAAAAAAAAAAAAAAAAAAAAAGCCTTAGAATTATTTTGGCATGGTCACAAATAAAAATGAAAACAGAAAAATAAAAATAAGGTGTCTGTTTCCATTTCTTAAGCCTTCATTTCAAGTTAAATAACATATCTGTAGACATCAATTGATAAATAAAAGGAAACTTGCTTCAGTTACCAACAGAAAGCAAGCCCCAGGGGCAGAAGTTAATTATGAATTCTTTCATGAATAAAGCTCTCGGGAACTGAAAAGATATCTCAGTGGGTAAGATGTTTGAAACGGTGAGAACCCAAGCTTAAATCCTCAGCACCACATAAAAGCCAAGCATGGCAGTGAACACCTGTGACCCCAGAGCTGAGGGTGATGTATCCACCCAGAAAGCTTCCTACACAAGCAGTCTGGCAGAAATGGCAAAGTTCAGGTTCACGAGAGAGCTTGGCTCAAGACATAGGATGAATGGTGATAAAGAAAGACATTAGAAAATGACTTTCAGTCTCGTGAAGATGAAAAAATGAGTAGACACACACACACACACACACGTATCGCCCACTTCTGACTCCTAACAACTAAGTGACTTTAGCTCTGGGGTCTGACGCCCTTTTTTAGCCTCTGAAGGCACCCACGTGCATGGGCTCACATGTTCACCCAGACAGACACGTATCCCTAAAAATGAGTAACAAATCTTTAAGAAAGCAAGCAAGAGAGGAAGAAAGGAAAGAAGGTCAAAAGTTTTCATGCTATTATATGTCACACTCACTGAACAGGAAATAAAGTCCTGGGTTTTCAGGCTGGTAGGCAATGTCAGGCTAAAGCATGAAAAGATAATTACAGGTATGAACTACAAAAGGAAAGACTAAACGGAGCAATACATATCCAGAATAAGCATATTGTAATTAACATGCCCTCCTTCTTCTTTGGGGATTTTTCATTTAAATAGAAATGAGTTCTGACAGCCAGGGTATTCATTTGGCAGGAATTCAGGCAATTTATATTTCAGATATGATCTCACCATCAGTTCCATCTGTTGACATTGCCTGCGCATCGTAATGTTTGGGGCTCTGGAACAGGGAAAACATAACCTCAAAATGAAGCTCCCTCTATCTGAGGCTCACCCGCCACCGAGACACCACATAAGTGTCCTCTTGTCTTGTAAGCATGGTATGTTCACTTTAAATCTTCCCTTTGAATCCTGACCGCGAGCCTAACTCTATTACCTATGGACGGAAAAACCAGGGACAGCAAACACAGCATGAGCTCACGCCACTGTTAAACATTCTTTTTTCTTTTGGCTTTTCGAGACGGGGTTTCTTTCTGCACCCTTGACGGTCCTACACTCACTCTGTAGACCAGGCTGGCCTCAAACTCACAGAGATCCGCCTGCCTCTGCTGGGATTAAAGGATGAAAGAGCGCTTCACTGCCACGTCCAGCTTCTTAAGGAGACTAGACAGAATGCTGTACTTAACACCAAGCTATAAAACTAAAACAAACAAACAAACCACTAACAAGCTCTGCTCCCAACCAGTCTTTGTGAGGGCTGGAGAAGCAGGCGTGGAGACGGTGTGGAGGCTCGGTCTCCTTTCTTTTTTTTTTTTTTTTTTATTTTATTTTTCTTTTTAGTTACATTTTGTTAACTCTGTGTCCCAGCTGTATCCAGCTCCCTCATTCCCTCCCCAACCCCACACTCCCTCCCTGGTCTCCTCCCTGCCCCTTTCCAAGTCCCCTGATAGGGGAGGACCTCCTCCCCTTTCATCTGACCCTGTTTTATCAGGTATCTTCAGGGTCTCCTTTCACTTGCAGGCAACTCGGGGGAAGAACAGGGCGGACACCGCACCATTTCCCTGAGCGGCCTCATGCGGCTGAGGCTAGCCGTGAGCCCTAGGTCTCCCGCTCTCAACTGTTGCTATTACAGGCCTGGGTCACTGGCGTTTCCTGTTGCTGTTTTAAAAGTTTAGTCACATTTATTTGAATTTCCACCTCCTCTAAGAGCCCCCAGGCCCTCGCCTGTGGATAATTCACCTCATCCTCAGCCTATGCTCTTCTTCTGTCGGGACAAGAAGAGCAAAATAAACAACGCCCTCCCTGTAGAGATCTGTCTGAATCACCAAATGAGATGCTGACAGCAATGCCGCCTCAATAAATACCACAGTACTGTTTTCTCGTCCGTCTTTCATCCATAGTTAAAACCATAAATGTTGTTCGTCCCCTGTTCGTAGGGAAACGGAAAACACTGTTCAAAGCAAATTCTGTCTAGACTGTAAAGTAGAGAAAGGCTTCCTGAAATTGATATTGACCGCAGGCATCCGTGCAGTGGGATTTTTATCTCATCAAAAATATATCTAGCCCAATGGAATATTCTCCAACAGAGAGATTTTTGAGACTTTTATGGAAGGTATACTCTGGCAACTTCATCCAGTCAGTAGCTTAAAGAAAAGAAATGTTGCCTGAATAAAGAAAAAAAAAGAAAAAAAGGTTCTTAAATAGTGGCTCATATTTTCAAGATTCAAAGTGATCTTTGTGTGTTTAAAATATGAGAAATAATGATGTGGACCCAGTCTCTACATAAGTCAGAAGAAATGTCTCTACATAAGTTAAAGGCATAACTTTGTTAACTTTTTTTTCCTCCCTAATAGGATATTCAATACTTCAAGCTATTATGGAAAAAGCAGGACAGAATGGATGGCATGTCAGTGCGATATGTGTGGAAAATTTTAACGATGTCAGCTACAGGCAACTGCTAGAAGAACTTGACAGAAGACAAGAGAAGAAATTTGTAATAGATTGTGAGATAGAGAGGCTTCAAAACATTTTAGAACAAGTAAGTTCTGCACTTCGTCTTATTACCCAGGTGTGTGTTGGATAAAAATGCTGACTCCGTATTTGTCTCCCAGTTTAGAGTTTGAGAATTAGGATTTTTCTATGATTTGTCTCTAGCACAAATGTCTTTTTTTTTTCTGTCAAAGGTCACTTAGTTCTTAGGTGCAGTTGAAGTTAAGAGTACAGCTTTTCTACCCTGTAAAGATATAAACAGTGGAAGAGCACTTGCTTAGACACTGGGAGTTCGTGGCCTTCATTAATATGAATTTTGAAGATTGGTGCCATATTAGGAAATTTAAATGGGCCTTTTATGTCTTCAAGAATTATTTGCATGAAAATTATCAACATAAATTAGCAAATCAATAACATAAAAGGTGATGAGGTAGACTATTCTGTGCTATGTTGTGGTTTTACCAGATGTTTTAAATAAATGCTACCTGTTTCCCATAAACATGATTTTTCAACTATCACTCAAAAGGGAGACTCTTTGAATAAAGATTCCAATTGTGTTGATTAGAGTAGAAGAGGATAGGAAGATAAAACTGAGCTATGTCATTGTGCTACGTGGTAAGAAAACAATATGCAATTACAGATGGCATTTCCCAGACCTGAGCAGTGATGAAGCCCTGCCACCAAAATCACAGTGCCTGGGTGCCATCTGGTGGCTCAGAGGAGGTTTGCTCATGTTTAGCCACAATATATTTGGGATAGCACAATTCAGAGTTAATTAATTCATTATGTAGAGTTTAACTGTATGATTGGACTTGGAATAGAAAGCCTATCAGTTTGGAGTACATTTGCACCACTCATTTTAGTATTCAACAATAAAACTTAGAGAAAAATATATCCGAGATTCCACCTTAACACCCCCAAGCTCTGGACTGAGTATCACTGTGTATATTAGAATTTGTAAAAGTTTTTCATAAACTCAGATGGCTCTTTGGTCACCTTCCCCTGTGGGGAGGCAGCCTTGCAGGCCACAGAGGGAGATGATGCAGCCAGCCCTGATGAGACCTGATAGGGTGGGGTCAGGTGGAAGGGGAGGAGGACCTCCTTTATCAGTGGATGAAGGAAAGGGCATAGGGAGAGGAGAGGGAGGGTGAGTGGGACTGGGAGGAGATGGAGGGTACTATAGCTGGCATACGAAATGAATAAATTATAATTAATAAATAAATAAGAAAAAAGTTTTCATAAAATACATTTTGCATTTTTAAGATATGAAGCAACATTGTACCATAAGATCAATTGGCAAATATCTACCTCTTGTTATCCCTTTATAAATGAAAATAATAATGCTTCACTAAAGAAAGGATTTATGCTGTTTTGGTAAACTATTAATACGAAGTCTACAGATTACTGAGATTCACTCCACAATAGCAATCCAGGTAAAGGAAACTCATAAATAAGCATTTGCGGAATTACAAGGAAAATTTCCCCTGACTTTCATAAGAAGTATGTGAAAAAAAATTAGTTTTAATCTATTATCAGTTCTTGTTCTAAATGAAATAACAGGAAAATGATGTATTTATGTAACACCGACTATCCCACTTATGGCACTAGAAATATAACAAAACAGTAAATTGAGTTTATTGTCGTTTGCTCGAGCCAGCTCCAACAAATAAAATGCAGTATTCTGCTTTTCTAAATTCAGCGAACAAATTGGTTCACACATCTAAAACAACAACAGAAAAACAAAACAAACAAGAAAAGAAAAGTTGAGCTAACAGAAGTCTGGAGAGACGCTCAGAGCACGACACTAGCTGTTCTTACATAGGGCCCGGGTGCCAGGCAATAACGCAGGATTTGATAAACTGTTTTCACATCAAAACGGGTGTTTATCCCAAGGATCTTCGTGTGCTATTTTCATACATGTCTGGTATTTTCAAACCCTGAACACAATGCTTATATCAGTGAAACGCAGAACTGTCCATTGTCAGTGTTTAACCTAGTGGTCAAAAACAAACAAAAAAACAAAAACCATGAAATTTGATCTTAACTATATTTTAAACATTGAAAACCTTCTCGCCTGAGGCTGGGGGACAGTTCAGCTGTTGGGAGCACTGGCTGCTCTTGCAGAGTTCGCTTCCCAGCACCCACGCGATGCCTCACTACTCTCCATTGCTCTGGCTCCAGGAATATGACACTCTCTTCTGGCCTCAGTGGGGAACCGGGTACAGACACAGTACACAGACATACACATAGGCCAAAGCCTCACAAACAAAAATTTAAAATAACGCATCTTTTAAAGTTTTTAAATCTTTTGTAAAAGTCTTATCAAAATAGTACTGAGGTCTCAGTACTTCTCAGACATTCCCCTCCAATACTGAAAATCCAGAAGCCCTGCAATTTTGCATTCCTACAGTTCAGGACACCCAGCTGTGACACTTGGGGTCGGACAAACCAGATTATAAAATTTTAAAGCACAGATGTGTTTGCAGTCTTTTAGAGACTGATAAGAAATGTTCAATGGTATTTTTTTTGTTGTTGTGTTTGTCATTTTAGGTGAGTTTTGTCTATTTGTTTTATTGTTTTGCTTGTCTTATTGTGGTTTCAAAAATGCGTAGCTTAATTATGTCCTTAATGCTTATTTTTTTTCTCCTCCTCACCTTTACATATGGTAAACTGAGCTGAAACGATGGCATAAAAAGTTTCGTCTAAATAAAAATTAATAAGCCATATTTCAGGTCACATGTTGGGTGATGAAGCTATGTAGAAATGTACGCATGGGGTGTAACTTCCAACAGAGCACAAAGTAAAGCCCTGACAGACGGCCTTTCCTGGGTACTCCTTCATTCCACAAACATTTGTCGAATAATACTTTCTCTTTCTTTTTCATGTGTGTGTATGCTCGCGTGTGTGAGTGTACGAGACCCGAAATGGCAAATCACATAGAGACATCTTACATCCTTATTGGTAACTTTCATGAGCATTATCTAAGGACGTTTTGATATTTAGCGTATTTGTGTGAGTGCCTACATCTTTGTGTGCGTACACAATGCGAGTACGCATGTGCACGTGTGGAACGGTGCACATAAAGTCAGAAGCAGCTTTTGAGTGGATTTTGTGTTTCCATCTTGTGACTCAGGTTGTCACACTTGGCAGCAAGTGCCTCCTCCAGCTGCTGAGCCACTTAGCTGACCTACCTGTGGTTTTGTTTGGGGAGGCTGGTATTTGGGGTGTGTGTGTGTGTGTGTGTGTGTGTGCGCGCGTGCGTGTCCACCCAAGCACACTGACTCCTTAATGCACACATGGAAGCCAAAGGTCAGATGTAAGTGTCTTCCTTGGTCACACTCCACCTGGCTGGCCGACAGGCGGTAGAAATTGCCCTTTCTCTGTGGCCCCATACCCTGAGCACTGGCGTGGCAGAGGCACACCACTGCAGCTAGATCCTACGCTGTGCTGAGGGTCTAATCGGCCCTTCCTCAGGCTCGTTCAGAAAGCACATCACCAATGGAACTGTCTCCTCAGACTTCTGGTCAACTCAGTTCCACACCAAAACCATTTGCTAAAATACACACACACACACACAAATGTATTTTTGAAAGAATTTTGTGGAAACATGCTTTACAGGGGTTAACAAAGATCTTATAGTACCTCCCAAATTTTTCACTATGAAAGTCAGTTTTATGAATAAATGATGATATCAAAGGCATCAGAGAATTGAAACTGTATTAACTCTTGTTCATAAAAGGTGTGCCTTTAAGAATCCGAGTATTTTTTTCAGCAGACTTTAAGTATTGACCTTAGACTGTGAAATATATACTTAACAAAAAGAAAAACAGACATCCCAGACAGACTCGGTCACATCCCTCTATTGTAATTGGCTTCCCTTCTCCAGTATTGTTATTTTCACAGAGTGAGACCAAAAAAAGAAAAGAGTGTCCCACTACACAGCATGCCAGTCATAGAATCTGCACATGGGTGACCTGCTCGTTCTGTTTGCCAACTAATTTGGAAAGAGAAAAAGACAAAAATCCATTATTGATGTCTATGTCACCAAAGAACAACCATCCTACCCTGAGGCAAGATCAGCCAGACAGAGGAAAGTGCCTTCAACATGAAGTTGAATATTTGTATGGAAGAGATGAAATGTGGAGCCAGTCCAATTAATTTATTCTAATCACCAGATGGCCATTCATACCTAGAACCTAGCAGCACCTAAGTGAGGTCTCAACTCCTAGACAGAATCATGGACAAACAGTCAATTTATAATATCATTAATTAAAGTATAAAAGCTGAATATCTAGGGGCTGTATATACAAAAATTTATGGCTTTTAAATCTTAAGAATTATACCATATAAAACTCTACCTTTTTCTTCTCGAATTGCTACCACTTAATAAAGGATTAAAGAAGAAATCCAGTATTGTGGAGCTTGACTGTATAGTTCATAATGCACCATTTTAGTGATTGCTGGTGAATATTTTTTCATGCCAGAGCCAAAAAAAAAAAAAAAAAGGAAAGAAAGAAATGAGAGAAAGAGAGAGATAAGTCAAAAAAGACTGAAAAGAAGCACAAGAACCACACCTATAAAAAAGAGACAGCTTTGATAAAGATGTTGCCTTGGTTTTTTGAGTCAGTTCCACCACTTAAAAGCATCACACATTGCGGTAATGTAAATGAGCTGATTCAGTAGACAGGACAGCTCTTCCCTGGGCATCGCCTGTGCTCATTTAAACTCTATAGACTAGACACATGAAGATATATAAAGCATGGTCATTATCCAAGCTTACTCTCAGGCCAAGGGCTCACAAATGCAGCAAATAAATATCAGAGAGGAAATTGCTTCAGAAAAGAAATATGAAAAAGGGCAAGAACTCAGAAGATGGGATGGCTAAGTATGGCCCGAATCAGGAATGCTTTGTAGAAGGAAAATAAAATCTTCTACATGTTAAAATGCATTGGGTAGTTTCCTGTACATGGGAAACAGGGGGAAAAATGGATTTTTCATACTCAAGGAAAGGAAAGTATAGTCCAAAACAGGTGAAAGACTACAGCTAGG